CCCATCTTTAGTCTGATTGTTCGCGGATCTCTTGCTTCGAGTAATAGACCTTTTCCTCCCATCCTACTTTATGTTTTACGAAGTGGGTAAACAAGCATGAAGTATTCAGATAGCCTTCTGTGTGCCTGTGTAGAATGCCTGACTTTTTTTCTAGAGCTTCTATAACATTCCTCTCAAGATAATTCTTGACTTCGATCAAATTATCCCATAGAAAAATAGAGTATAGAGAGAAAAATCCAAACCTTTTACCAATCCGAGAGATTGTTCTTAGACACCACATTTTAAAAAAAAAAAAAAAAAAAGTCCAAATATTCTTTTTGTAATCCATCTCCTATTCCTAATTTTTCTCTTTCCTTTAACACATTTCCATTACTAATCTTCCTTCTTGAATTTCATTGTATTCTAAACCTCTCGTTATTCTCTCTAAAAATCAACTTCATAAAGATTAGTACAACAATCTTTGATTTGATAATATAACCTTGTAAAACCTTGTAATATTTGAAAAACCAAGTTCAGTCATACTTCAACTATTTTTCTTCTAAAATTTGAATCCATGCAAATTACTAAAAGAATAGATTCCTAAAAGCAGCTAAAAAGGATAAAATTGAGATGTTGTATAAGCAACTTAAGGTTAAATACAGTGTTTGAAAAAGTGCGCTTTAGGCGCAAAGTGATAGGTGGTAAGCCCTTAACTTGGTCTGGGTGAGGCGTCTGTGATTAGGCGCAGGTTAGGCACATGAGGCGCAGCATAAGCGCACAAGGCACACCTGAGGCACATCTAAAGCAAATTTCAGCCAAAATGTTTTAATTGTTCACAAAGAGGCGCCCCCAGGCGCAATGGAACCCTTCTCGCTTTAGCGCGCCTTGAGATTTTTTATACATTGGTCAAGTATTAATGTATAATAATACTTTGATCAGAATAGATTAGTAAAAGCATTCTAAAACTTGGGCATTTAAAGCAGAAAAAGTCATATAAGAACTCAAGTGTACAAACATATGTGATATATCATCCCTATTTAAAAGAAAGACTGAAAGAATCACATTTATGTTTGACTTACTTGTGTTTTTCCAATCCCAGCTGGGCCAACCAGCTCAGTCACAACGCCAAATGGAATCCCACCACACAAGGCTTTGTCTAAACCCTCTAGTCTTGTAGGAAGATGGCCAGCCAAGTGTTCGTTTTGCACTCGTTGCTCCAAAAGCGATAACGCCTAAAAGCCAAACTTCAAAAGGGCTATAAAAGAATGATACAAAGCAAATCAACTATAAAATAAACAGCAAATACAGTCAGGACCATAGGCTTACAGTTTCAAAGGGAGGGCAGACCACTTCACTGATGTACGCAACTGCGGATGTCACCTCTGTGAACCCCACATCAAGTAACTCCATCAACTCAAATTCTGTTAGTGAAAGTGCATCCTAGAAGAAGGTAAAAAGAAAAGAAAAAAAAAGCCATCAAACCCATGAATAGAAATTTCTATCAAGTACAAGTGAAGATTGTTTCAGCCATGGTGTTAAGTAATTTGGACTCTTCATTTCACATCAAGTACCAATGTCGGATCGTACACGAGTGTGAATATTTGGAGTTTCGACAATTCATTTTCAGCCAAACTCATGCAAGTTTTCACAAAATAACCGGGTATGACACTTAGATACATACCCCATGTCCAACACGTGTACCCAAGTCCAAGTAAATAGAGTGCATATAAGCAAAATTTTACTGTAATTTTCAAGGATGAAATTAAACTAAAATCAAGGGAAATCAGCACCATTGCCGATATTTCAATCAAAAGTTTTACATTAGAAATGATAGCCAAAGAACATTCAGTGATTAGAAGATCACCTAAATTAGCAATACCCCAAGTTCATAGATCAAAATCATCAGCTTTAAAAGACTACATACAATAAATCGGTTTTTGGCTCACGATTCGAATCCTTTTTTTGACATTATACATCAACAACCAAACAATCAATCAATCGAGCTTTTCCAATCACAAAAAATTAACAGATTCCGCAAATTATAAACCCCAAAAAAAAAATCATTCAAATTACACCATTAAAGTAACAATTCAAAAGTACCCAAGAGCTAAATCTTCAAAATTTACAAGAAATTTGCGCAATTTGAGGGATTTAAGAAATTTTGTACACTTTCAGAAATTAAAACTTGAAATATAATTATCATCAACTGACCTTGGCAGTTTTGATATTACGGGCTGCAAAGATGTTGCCAATTGAGTTGGGAAGACCCATTTCACTGATAAGCCGATTCGCCATCTTCCTCAATTCTCCCGAATTCAATGGCTTTTCCCGCCAAATATAAACCCTACAATCCTGTAGGAAATGGTCATAAGAGCATCTCAAGGGTGAACATTTTAATAGTTCACAATTAGTGAACAAATAAGGTGGTGGCTTAATGGCAAACTCTTTAATTGTTCATGTCGAGTGGTCATGGGTTCGATTGCAGGAGCAAGCACTTGCATCAATTAATTCGCTGTAGGCCCCCCAATATTTTGGACTGATATTCATGCAAAACGACTTCGTTTTGCAACGTTTTGCTGTTAAAGGTCAGAAAAAAAAATAGAAATCAGCGGCTGGGAGCGCGCCACTTGGCCCAGCCGCTGCTTGACACGTGTGTACTGTTTTAAATATATCCGTTGTAATTTTACAACGGATATATTTTACAAAATACAAATCAAAAAAAAAAAAAAAAAATTACCAACGACTCTATTTTTTTCCCCTCTATAAATAGACACCCATATTGATATACTTTTTTCAACTTTGAAAATTCATTTTTTTCTACTATATTTTTCTCTTCAAAAATCCCCTCTATAATTACCAATATTATTATTATTTATACCAATATTAATATTATTATTGTTATTATTATTTTTAATTAGTAATCACGATTAAAATATTAGTTTTTTAAAAAGCTGATAAAAAAATGCGATAATTTCTTAATTAGTAATCACGATTAAAATATTAAATACGTCAATTAATTACATTGACATCGGGTTAATAAATTATAATTATGAAACAAAAAAGATTATATTTACAAAAATAAAATAAGGTGGGGTAGGGAGTATTGATGATGAACCATTGTTTAGTGTTCATTGTTAAGAGTGAATATTGTAAATGGTTTGTTGGGTTGATGTGGATGAGAGAGAAATGGTGATTGATTAGGGGATTTTTATCCACCAAGCGCCGTTTGACAAGTGGACCAACCAGGTTCCGCCACGCGTCCTCCACGGACCACTTAAGACACGCCACGTGTCCACCCATGCCAAATGGGACAACCGGCCATCAAGGCCCATTTCAGTCTAGAAGCCCGATCGGCCCTAGGTTTACCTTAAACCTAGAGAGTTGCACGCTTCCCAAGGCTATAAATACTCGATTAATCCTCATTAATCAGGGACCGAATAATTTACGGAACACACTAATAACCGGCTGATCTCGCTAGCAAAGCAGATTACCTACATTAAATACTCTCACCTAGAGAGACCTTATTACTTTAATTTCTGTATTAATTACTCCTTAATCAGGTACTAACTTGACCGTTGGAGGCGGAGCTCTCAGGAGTCTCCGTTATTTTGCAGGTACAGGCGTCCGGTTCCAGTCTCGGAATTGTAACTCTCCCGCAGGACATCAGAAAACCCCGAAACAGTGATAGTGACCCATGAACCATTTTTTTGTGTTCACCAATAATGATGCTCTAAGGTAAGTAAAATTTTCGCCCAGTGTAACAATATTTTTTTTTTTTTTGGGAAAAAGAGACTAGATTTCATTAACAATTCGGCATATTTTCGATTCGCTGTTTCGTACAACTTTTTGAGTGGATCCGTCGTCGCTTCGCAATTTTGTAAGAAAGTAAATTCTTGTACTGATTCCGTAACCCGAATCCAAATTAAGCACAAATAAAATCTTGTCTTTCGAAAGATTACGAAAAACCTTGTCTTTCGAAGGAGATCGAAAAAACCTTGTATTTCAAAGGAGAGAAACTCTTTCTGTCGAGGGAGACATTATTGTAACCTAAAACAAAAGGCTTAAAAGTAAATAAAGATTGGGGCTTTCCACCGGTGAAATCCGATGGAAGCCCCTTTAAAATTGACAATGGAGACTAGGTTTAGGAGAGAGAAGAGAGAAAAGGAGGCTAGGGTTTTGGTAGCTACTTTTTTTTTGTTCCACGGTGTAACAATATTATTGAAATGGGAGGTTTTAAAAAATAAATAAATAAAATAATGTTAAATATTTTTACTGATGGTAAGGTATTTACAACGGCGGAGCCAGGAATATATAACCGGGGGGACGACAACTAAACATCGCATCATTTGACAAAAAAAAAAAAAAAAAACGCAAAGATAGTTTTATAGTTAAAATTTTGCAACTAAAAAGTCCACAATATATAATTAGTCCTACAACTAAAAAAATGAAAAAAATTACATGAAGTTTAATATTAAATTATAATTGCATCCTTCGAGTCTTCATATTTTGAAAACGATCAATGATTTTTTCATCGGGAACTTGTAGGAACATTTCCTTCTCAATAAAAGTGACCAAACAATCATTCATAAGTTGATCACCCATGCAAGTTGATCACCCATGCTATTTCGCAACTTACTTTTGACATATTGTCATTGCGAAAAACACTCTTTCAACACTTGCCGTAGCAACGGGAAGAATCAACATCAACTTGATAAGCAACAAAAGGATATGTCTTATCCTTCTTGGTACTAACAAGCATCATGGAAAGAGAGTTAAGATCACGCAAGTTTTGAAATCTTTCATCATTGTGCATATTTCCCATGAATTTATCAAGCTAACCTTCAAGTCATCAAATCAAAACTTGAAAATTCTTCGGGATAAAAAGAAGCAAGTTTGAGTACCTTTTCTTTGTCAAAAGATGAAAAATTATCTAGCTTTAGGACTTAAGCAAGCCATACACGTAAGTAACTCCATGCTTCTCTCATTGAATCAATTGTCAAGTTCATGAATATGCAAATCATTTACCCCAAAAACATTTCAACACGAAAATGATGTAGATTTGTTGCTTTTTCGACAAACCGTCGTGTTCTTCCTTGAGGAACATAAAGAGCATCCATGGTGGGAACATCAATGTCTTGTTTAGTGCAAAATGAAGTAACCTTCTTTAAGAGAGTCTCCCACCCTTGTTCCCTCATTTTTTGCAACACACTTTTTGTGAAAGTAACTAGTTCCATGGCATTTACAATATCTTGCTCCTTTCTTTGCAAAGCAAGACACAAACCATTAGTGTAGCTAAACATAGTCAAAATTAAGTAAGCCACAAAAATAAAATCAAATGACTCTAATTGTCCTAAAACAATTTGAGCTTTGAAATTATCTTCCGATGCACCATGTTTTCCAATGTGAACAGGTACCTTAACAATTGTAGAAAACAAGCGGATGATATTTACAAGACACTTGTAATGAGATCCCCAACGAATATCTCCGGGCCTCTTCAAACCAAGCTCTTGATTCAAACTCGATCCACTCAAAATTTCCCCCACTTCTAATGCTTGAGCAAGTTCTTGAGCTTGACTATCACGAATCATTTCTCTTCTCTTGCAAGAAACTCCAACAACATTCAGCAAGTTTGCAAGTATTTCAAAAAGCCAACCACAACTATCATTTCTTTTAGCAATGGCAACTAGTGTGAGTTGAAGTTGATGAGCAAAACAATGTATGTAGTAGTCTCTTGGAGTATCATTCATAATCAAAGTCTTAAGACCATTTATTTCACCCATCATATTACTAGCCCCATCATAACCTTGCCCTCTTATCATAGATGGACTCAATGAATGTTCCACAAGTAGTGACAAAATTGCATCTTTAAGAGATAAAGCGGTAGTATCACCAACATGAACAATGCCTACAAATCTCTCCATTACCTTTCCACTATCTCTATTAACAAAGTGCAAAACAAGAGCTAGTTGCTCTTTTTGAGACACGTCACTTGACTCATCGGCCAATATAACAAAGTAATCATCACCAAGCTCTTCAATTATGCACTTAGTTGTTTCTTTTGCATAACAATTACTAATGTCTTTTTGGATCGGGGGAGAAGTCATTTGACAATTTCCGGGTGCATTTTCAAGAGCATGATCACCTACTTCCTTAACCTTTTCTCCTAACCATTTCAATAGTTCAATAAAATTACCCCTATTATAAGACTCATCACTTTCATCATGCCCACGAAATGACAAACCTTGCCCCAAAAGAAACCTTAAACAAGTTAAAGATGCATTTAGGCGAATATAATATTCACTTTTAATCACCTCACTTGCCTTTTCAAATATGTCCACAATTGATTTATTTTTCCCATCTTTCAAGTTCACATACTTCTCATAAGCAAGATTATGAGCACTCTTAATTCCACCAACATGCTTCTCAAATCTTTCCCAGCTTATTCCATTTCCTAAACCCTCCATCAACAAATGCATCACCTCCCATATTATTGTCAACTTCACCTTTAAACAAGTAACATACAAAACAAAATGCGGCATCTTTTTAATGCTATATTCAAGCCAATCCCATTTATTGAACCAATTCACACTAAAACGACGCAAACCTCCCGCTTGTCTTTGAGGAAAGTTGTGAGTTTTTGGTTGGCAAGGTTTTCTGAGAATGTAAGCTCTCCTCACCGCATTTCTTTGATTTGGGAGATAGTCCATTATGTTCATTCTTTTTCCCGGATCATGAGGAAGAAGTTCAACATCATATATCAATTCTTCCTCCTCCGGTGGTAAATTACTAGTACTTGTACCACCAATTTCTTCAACATTTTCTTGAGTTGGGGGGGGGGGGGCTAAATGAAGTGGGTTCATTTCCTTGAGATTTCATTCTGATAAACTAGAATTGTCGAAGATCGAGTTGTTTTCCCTTTACCTTAGAATTGTTTGAATTAGGTGAATTATTTGACATGTCCTAATTAAATGAATAAAAATAAAAACAATGAATCAGTAATAATTCAATTTCCATCATATCATATAATCAATATTACCAAATAATTAAATACAATTATACAAATAACAAGTTATAGTTTTATAAAGTGAACAATTTGAGAATTGAGAACCCTAGCCTAACATTGGAATACAAACAATCAACCTCAACCATTTAAAAAAAATCAGAATTTAAACAATTAAAAAATCACACTTAATTAAAAAAAAATTAGCACTTAAACAATTTGATTAAAATAAGATTTAGGGTTTGGTGGGTTACTTTAAAATTATAAGTTACTTACAATGAATTGGGGAAAAATCCAAAGAAAATTGACTTCTGCAATATATGGGATGCTAGTTGTGCAGTGGTGGCGGCGCCGGCGCCGGCGTCAGCAGTAGTGTAGTCGTCGCCTTGTCGGAGACTCGGAGTCCGGCGGTACGTCAACGTAGTTATGGAAATTACATTTGTTTTGTACTTTCTTATGTTTTATTATTATTTGTCTTTTAGTAGCTTTTATTGTTTATATTTTTTATTTAATATAATGTATGACATGTCACTATCAAACTTTCCTTTTGTATTTTGGTTTGGTTTTGTCAGAGCCTTGGGTAAGTTTCTTTCGTAAATCGTAAGTTTTGTTTTTTTTTTCCTTTTTTTTTTAATAAAAAAATCTGAATTTTTTTTTTAAGTGGGGGAATAGCTGTCCCCCCTCCCTCCGCCTCTGGGTATTTATCTATGAAGGGATGAAGATAGGAAGCAAGTAGTAGTATGATAGAAAACTCTTTCTTATTTCAACTTAGTTCACAATACGTGAACTTGCTCTTATATAGTCAAAATATATGAATATATTACATTATTGTACTACATGCAAATAATTGTACTTAGTAAAATTTACATTGGCCTCAAAATTACTTCATGTGGACTTCAATTCAATCATGCATGTTTGTATGTTTCTCAACACTCCCCCTTTGAACGTTCACATGGAATGGGGTACAAGTTGCCTCATTAAAAACCTTGCTAGGTAAAACTCTGTGGGATAAAAACCATAGCTAGGGACAAAGAGTACAACTATATTGTATTATATGCTTTGGTAAACTGTCTTGTTAAAAACCTTGTCAGGAAAAACCCAATGGGATAAAAACCTGATCGAAGGGAAAAAGAGTGCAGTACATATAATACTCCCCCTGATTTCAGCATAGTTCACAAAAATGTCGCATTCCGATTTTGTGAACTAACTGCTCAAATTTCTTCGAAGGAAGTGATTTGGTGAACTGGTCAGCAAGATTGTCACAAGATTGAATTTGCTGGATATCTATTTCCTCGTCCTTTTGCAGATCATGTGTGAAAAATATTTTTTGGGGCAATATGTTTTGTTTTATTTCCCTTAATTTAATATATCCTTCAGTAACTTGAGCAATGCATGTTGTATTGTCTTCAAATATGATGGTTGGGTCTTCTATTATTGCGTTCATTCCACACGCCTTTTGGATATTACTGATCATCGACCTCAACCATACATATTCTCGTCCTGCTTCATAGAGGGCTATCAATTCTGCATGAATTGAGGATGTCGCGGTCAATGTCTGCTTTGTTGATGTCCATGATATTGCAGTGCCGCCATAAGTGAACACATATCCATTTTGTGACTTGTCATTTTGAGAATCCGATAAGTATCCAACGTCAGCGTACCCAATGAGAGCAACATTTGTTCGGTTGATAATATAAACCAAGTTCTTGTGTCCCTCGTAGGTACCAGAGTAAGTGTTGAACTCCCTTCCAATGCCTATATGTTGGTGCATTGATGTGCCTGGATAACAAGTTCACAGAGAAAGCTATGTCGGGTCTAGTGTTGTTAGCTAAGTAAATTAAGGCTCCAATTGCACTTAACTACGGTACTTCTGGACCCAGCATATTTTCATTTTCTTCTCAGGGTCTGAATGGATCATTTTTCATATTCAAAGAACGGACAACCATTGGGAAGTTGATTGGAGTTGCTTTGTCCATGAAGAATCTTTTCAAAACTCTTTATGTATAGTTTGATTGATGGACAAAAATACCATGACTTAAGTGCTCAATTTGCAGTCTAAGGCAAAATTTAGTTTTCCCAAGGTCTTTCATCTCAAATTCTTTCATTAAGTATTTTGCAGTTTTCTCGAGTTCATTTGGGGTTCCAATGATATTCAAATAATCAACATAAACTGCAATGGTTGCGAATCCTGATTGTGATCGCTTTATGAAAACACAAGGACTAACTTGGTTGTTCTTTAATCCTTCTCTCATAAGGTATTCACTGAGACGGTTATACCACATCCTTCTAGATTGTTTCAATCCATAAAGCTAAGTGACCTTTTTAGTTTTATGGAAAGCAATTGTCTAGGCTTGTGGTTTTCTGGTAGTTTTAGTCATTCGGGGACTTTCATGTAAATGTCTTTATCGAGTGATCCATACAAATATGCAGTCACTACATCCATTAATCGCATTTGCAGTTCTTTTGTGACTATCAAACTTACCAGAAATCTTAATGTAGTTGCATCAACTACTGGAGAATATGTTTCTTCATAATCAATCCCTAGAATTTGAGAAAATCCTTGGGCTACAAGTCTTGCCTTGTATCTAACTATCTCATTTTTCTCATTACGTTTCCTTACAAATACCCATTTGTATCCAACGGGTTTTACACCCGCTGGTGTAAGGGTTAGTTTCCCGAAAACTTCTCTTTTTCAAGTGACTTTAACTCAGCCAGCATTGCCTCTTTCCACTTTGGCCAATCACTCTTACGTCGACATTCTTCTACCGTTCTTGGTTCAACATCATTTTCATCAAACACAATGTCGATTGCGATGGAATTTGCAAATATTTTCATCCACGATAACATCTTTCCTATTCCACTGAGTCTTGGTAGAGACGTAATTCATTGAAATTTCATTGTTATCGATGTTTTGAACGTCTTGTTCATTCCCCGTAGGGTTGTCTTTTTGTTCTTGCCCTTTTGGATTATCATCATTTTCTGTACTTTCATCCACATTTGGTCTTTCTTGACCTTCTGACGGGGAAACATCATTAGTCTCATTTTCTATTCCATCCAATCTTTTCAATTTTCTTGGCCTAGAATCTTTTGAACCAAGTGGTCTCCCACGCTTTCTACGTGCTTGAGATTCATTTTCTATGGCCTTAATACCAGTTGGGATTTCAATACGTGCAGGGGCATTTTCTGCTGGTATATGTGATTTTGTCACCTTCTTTGTGTCTACAAATGCATCAGGCAATTGATTTGCAACACTTTGTAAATGAACAATTTTCTTAACCTCTTGTTCACACATATTTGTTTGTGGGTTTAACATCAACAGTTGTGTTGCATTCCAAATAAGTTCAATTTATTTCTTACATGGGTCCACTTTCTCTCCCCCTAAGGCTGGGAAAATGTTTCATTAAAGTGACAATTGGAAAATCTAGCCGTAAATAGTTCACCAGTCAATGGTTCAAGATATTTAATTATAGAGGGGGATTCAAACCCGACATAAATTCCTAGCCTTCTTTGTGGACCCATTTTTGTTCGTAGGGGTGGAGCGATGGGAACATATACAGCACAACCAAAGATTTTTAGATGTGAGATACTTGGTTCTCGACCACAAACAAGTTGTAGTGGTGAGAATATATGATAAGCTGTAGGTCTCAATCTAATTAGCGCGACTGCATGTATTATAGCATGTCCCCAAGCAGATGATGGCAATCTTGACCTCATTAAAAATGGTCTTGCAATCAATTGTAATCTCTTAATTAGTGATTCAGCTAGACCATTTTGTGTATGGACATGAGCTACTAGGTGTTCAACATCAATTCCAATTGACATGCAATAATCATTAAATGTTTGGGATGTAAATTCCCCAGCATTGTCAAGTCTTATTTTCTTTATTGTATGATTTGGGAATTGTGCTCTTAATTTGATGATTTGGGCAAGTAATTTTGCAAAGGCAACATTTCTACTTGAAAGTAGACTAACATGTGACCATCGTGTAGAAGCATCAATTAAAACCATGAAATATCGAAATGGTCCACATGCTGGATTAATTGGCCCACATATATCTCCCTGAATTCTTTCCAAGAATTTTGGAGATTCAGTAGGAAAATTTTGTTCATAGATGGCCTTATTATTAATTTTCCAAGTGAGCATGCAGAGCATGTTAATTCATCTGATCGAGGAATTTTGACATTTCTTATTGAATGTCCAACTAAATGTACTATTATTCTTTGCATCATCCCAGTTGCTGGATGTCCCAAACATTCATGCCATAAAATAATAAAATGTTTATCATCTAATTTCTGGTTAGATACCATATTGATTTCCACGGGTCGTATGTTTATACGATATAATCCCGAATAGTATGCTGGCAATTTCTCATATACATGTTTCTTTCCATGTTTTTCTGCCGTGAGGCATATATTCCTTTTGATCTATTGTCATTGTTTCTAGATGATATCCATTTTGGCGTACATCTTTAAAGTTTATGAGGTTTCTTCGAGATTTACTCGAATATAAAGCATTATTGATTATTAATTTTGTTCCATTTGGAAGCATTATACAAGCCTTTCCAGATCCTTCAATTAATTTAGCTGACCCTGAAATAGTGTTTACATTTGCTTGAAACAACTTTAGTTGTGAAAAATATTTTCTATCCTTCAAGATAGTATGTGTTGTTCCACTATCCAAAAGGCATTGATATTCGGAACTAACTTCAGGCAGATCCATATCTTCATAAAATAAATTTGAGATTAGTTTAGAATAATATCATATAAAGTTTTATTGATGATAGGGATTAAAAGTACATGATTAGAAATTTAAAATACAAGACATAAAGAAAATACATTAAAACATAATATATGTTACATT